GGTACAAACCCATGTTTGGTATCCTGAGGCTCAACTGCAACAAGGGTGTATGAAAGCTTCCTGCCGGGTAAATGGAAGTTATCAGGCTTTTTCCTCCCTCCTGCCATTAGCATCTATGATTGGCACCTGTAGTCTTGCATGCGTGCCTGATGGTGGACACCTGGAGTATGGTGTGGGCATGATGCATAAGTGGGCACACCTGAGACTGAGGCTATAAGGGAAGCGCCAGACTTCAAAAACATCTACAAGACCACCAGCCACATCTGCGAGAGGAAGAGACCACTAGATAATGCCAGAGAACCCAAAGAGAAAGAGTAAAGATTCGCTGGGAACTGGGAGGCCTGCCAGTCTCCTAACACCCCAGCCTTCCTGCCTTGCCAGCCTGAGGGCTTGCCCCACAACAACTGGTGTAGAAATATTAAGGCCTGAAAAAGCCACTGAGGATTCCAGGACTCTCCTTGGCCCCTCTGCCCTAATCGATAGAGAACCTGCCCTGTGCCTGCTTGCACTATACTTCCCCACACAAACAAGCAATTCTTAAGACACCAGAAGGATGTCCTTCTAATATCCAAGAATTCAACTCAATTCTGACACTATCGACACACAGCATCAGTTTCCACAGGTTAAGGGCTTAGTCTCCTCTACTTCAGAAGCCAGCCAGAAGTCCATGCTGCCACCTATAGTGTCACCTGGCTACAGACTAGAGGTTCCCATTCATTCACACTTCAAGTGTGCACAAGCCTAGATTATTACACGTGCTTCTGACCAACTATCTACAAATCAGAAGTACCCAGGACACCATCGTCGGGTTCAATTAATTTGCTAGAATGGCACAGAACTCAGGAAACCCATTTATTCAATTATGTCACTGATTTATTAAAAGGATATAGAACTCAGGAAGCCAGATGGAAGAGATGCACAGGATAAGGTATGGGGAAAAGGCTAAGAGCTTCCATACCCTCTCCAGTTCATCACTCTACCCAAATCTCCATATGCTCACCAAACCTAAAGTCCTCTGAAGCTCCCTCCTTAGTCTTTTTTTTTAAGATTTATTTATACAAGAACTGGGGTACAGTCAGAGGCGCGGGAGGGTGAGAGAATTCACCAGAGACAGACGGGAGCAGAGCAGGCAGACGGACTTAAGACACTTGTAGGGTAAGGTAAAAAGTATCAGGCTTTTCTGCTCTCTCGTCATCAGGAAGGATGACGGATCCTTGCGGTCCTGAATGCATGCCTGATGGCATAGGTAGGGTGTGGGCATAGGTAGATGGGATTCACCTGGGCTAAGACTGTGCTTTTAAGGGCAGCGTCACGGGGACGCCAGGAGAAGCTGAAAGAGAAGCCAAGAGAAGCAGCAGCATAAGCCAAGGGAGGGAGAGAGAGAAGGCCGTAGAGCCCAGATAGAGTGAAGACTTGCTGGGGGCTGGGAGGCACCCTTGCCTGCTGTGTACCTGGTAAACCCCAATAAAAGCCTGCAAAAAGCCACTGAAGGCTCTTACTCCTCCTTTACCCGGTCTGCTGGATCATAGAAAACCTGCTCCATGGCCATTCCTGACACACTGCTGAGAGGAGCAGCGGGTGAGGCAGGAGAGGTCTCCTGCGCCATGTGGAATTCTCCCTGGCAGGCCAGGAATCAAACCCACGCTGCAGAGGCTGCAGACAGTTTCACAGCGTTGTGCTCAACCCACTGCGCCCCTCTTCGGTATTTATTTATTTATTTTTTGGTGGGACCCTCACTGGGGGCTGCGCCACTAGGGGAGGCCCCCCTCTTTGGTCTTTATGGAGGCTTTACTACATAAGCATAATTAACTCATTGACCACTGGTTACTGATTCATGCTCCAGAGCCTCTCACCCCTCCCAGAGGTCTGCGGGTAGAGATGGAAGTTCTAATCCTCCATTCCTGCAGTAGTTTCCCCACTACCACCACTAGCCCCCATCCACAGGTGCTTTTCAAAAGTTATCTTCATTAACATAACAAGAAACGCCTCTAATACTCTCAAAAACTAGGAAATTGCCTGCAATGTTTTTGGGGAAGTGTGAACCAGAAACTGGATGAAGACCAAATAATGTCACCTAACCAAAATATGTATTAATTACCAAAATATGTATTTCTCATAAATCACAATACTGCAAACACAATAGCAATAAACACAATAGCACTGGCTCTGAGATATTAGCTTCTAAATGTTATTCCCCACTAAAAGAATCCAAGGATCCCTAAAGATTGGATCCCAGGACTAAAGGAAAGTACAAGCCCAGAACATCTTTTAGCACCAAAATGTAAAGGCATGTTCAAAAACGATGCTAGTACAGAAACCAGCCTGAACAGTTCTCACTTGCCAAATGAGGAACAATTTGAACAACGAAATAAACAGTAACAGAATATAATCCACTTAAAAAAACAAAACACCATGAATCCATATAGCTAGAAAATGGAATACATTAAAAGTTTGGTGAAGAACAAGATATTTACATAGTTTCAAAGTACTGACAAAACTATTACTATTAAATATTAACTTTATGTAAAGAACCTCATAGACATTACTCATCAAGTAACCAAAGTGAAGACTTTATGTCTTCACTTCATATCAAGTAACCAAAGTAAAGACCTATAATGGGACAAATTGAAATTGTGCACCACCTGATAAGATGCAACAAGCATCATATTTATGATATTCCTACCCTAATCTATACATATCTAACCTTAAAAAACAGACAATACCACAGTAAGGGGCATACCACAAAATAACTAAACCAATCTGACATCTAGATGGAATATGTGTCAGTGATAATTTCCTGATTTTGATGATTATATTTTTGAGAGATTATATGTAGGTGAATATCTTTGCAGAAAACACACACTAAGGGACCACCCTGGTGGCATAGGGGTTAAAGACACAGTGTTAGCAAGCTATGGTCAGCCACTGTGGCACTAAGTTCCATCCCAGCCAGCCAGGGAGCAACCCACATAGCGCAGCAGACCTCTCCTGTCTCACCCGCTGCTCCCCTCAGCAGTGTATTTCAGTAGATCTGCCTGTTCTGCTCCCCACTCTCTCTGGTGAGTCCTCTCACCTCTGATCTATTCCCCAGTTCTTGCATGCATGAAATAAATAAGTCTTTAAAAAAAAAAAAAAAGGAATTGCACACCAAAATACTTCCCAGTAACACGGCATCAGGTAAGCCGCTTTCTCTCATGGTGAGGGCTGAGGTGGAATAGTTCTTTGTACCATACTTTTTTTTTAAAAGATTTATTTATTTATTTATACAAGTACTGGGTACAGTCAGAAGCGCAGGAGGGTGAGAGAATTCACCAGAGCGGGGAGCAGAGCAGGCAGAAGGACCAAAGTACACTGCTGAGGAAAGCAGCGGGCGGCGGGAGAGGTCTGCGCGCCATGTGGGACCCTCACCTGGTGGTCAGGGATAGAACAGGTGCTGCAGAGGCTGCAGGCAGCTTCCGCAACCCAGCGCTCAACGGCTGCGCCACCAGGGAGGCCCTCTTTGTACCATACTTACAAGTTTTCTGCAAGCTTGTCATTGCTTCAAAAAAAAATTTAAGTGGGAAAATCAACGTGGCAGAAAATGAAATGTTAAAAACTGGCTTTTTTCAGGCAGCTGTGCCTGTGACTATGCAAGTGACTACACAGGTGTGCCTGTGACTATGCAAGTGTTTCTTTTCACAACTCTTTCCCCTTTGCAAAGCAGCAGGGACAGCTCTCCCGCCCACCCGACTATACAGGTGCCTCTCTTTTACTCCTTTTCCTAATAAACCTGTCCTTTTAAAATGTTAAAAAAAAAAAAACTGGATTTTTCATACCATTAATCTTGGTTGGAAAGACACAACAGACTGCAAAAATTACTAGGAAAAATAAATAAAATTTAGGAGCCAGAAGATATTTTAAACACAGCCCAACTCCTTCGCTAATAGTTGACCTCAAAAAACCATTAGTAGATTAGACAATAAAAGGTTCCCGCTAAAAGAAGTTACTGGAAGAGGAATAGTGAAAGGAGAAGTCAACTAAGAGTGGGTAGAACAATAACGGTATTCTCACGCTACGAATGGCTGTCACATCAGCAAAACACAATCTCAGCATCTCTCTGCAAAGTGAAGGGGCTGTCTAGCGGATACCTCAAATTCCTTGCAAATGGACCACCAGAATTACCCTGAAATAGACGTGCTTCACAGCTCACGCTTAGCCCTGCAGCAACACAAAGGAATACAACTACAGAATCAAAAGTTCCTGTACCCTGAATGCTCTCAAACTGCGCGAGTCCCTCCATTACATGAAAACGCAATGCATTTTCCAAATAGCTCCTTACGGAGAAAGTGTGGTCAAGAATGTAACAAAGTGCCTATTAAAGTGAAACGGGATCACTTCCACGGGTCTGCCGGACGTCCTTCCCCAGGAGATGAGCATTCAGACGTGCTCAGAAATGGTCACAATTACCCCGAGCAGAACAGACAGCACTTCCCAGGAGCGAGTAAAGGAGCAGCCCAGCCCTCCCCTCCCCTCCCCTCTCTTCCCCTCCCCTCGAGTCCCACGGGGTGAGGACCAGAAAGGCCACCAGCCCCGCAGGGGGAGGCAGCCCGGGCCTCCCAGCACTTCCTCCGGGAGAGGCCAGCCCCCTGCGTCCCTCGTTACTCCCTCAGGACGCCGGGCACAAGCGTATCCCCAGGAGCGCAGCACAGTCGGCTCCCGCGCTCCCCACCCGCCGTCGGGGCGCGCCCGGGCCCGGCCAGCGCCCGGGTCGCGGCGCCCCGACCGCCCCCAGCTGGCCCCGCGGGGCGGCCCCGGCGGACGCGGCCTCCGCCCCTCCCCCGCCGGCGCCCCACGCCCACCGCGAGGCTCGGCCGGGCCCGCGGAGGCCGGACGCCGACCGGCCGCCCCGCCGCGGCCTTCCCCGCCTCCCGCCGGGACGCCCGGCCCCGCGGAGCCCACTGGACGGCGGCCGGGGGGCGGGGGCGGCGGGCCTGGGGGCGGCGCCCGCCCCACGCCCTTACCTGGCTTCTCGTGGTCGTAGCCGACCACGATGAAGTAGTCGGCGAGCCGGGCCATGGCCGCCGCCGCCGCGCCCGGGAAGCGGGTGCCCCTCGCCGCCCTCGCCGCCGCCGCCCGCCGGGCCCAGGCGGGCTCAGCATTTTCCCCGCAGCGGCAGTCGCGGCGGCAGCGGCGCTTCAGCCATGTTTGACAACCGAGGCGCGCTCTGCGCCTGCGCGGCGGCGAGCGCCGCTCCTCCCCCGCCCCCACCCGCGCCCTCCGGCCGCGGAGCCGCGCGTCGAGCCCACCCCGCCCTCCGCGGGGGCCGGGCCGGCCGTGCGCGCGGGTGGGCGACCCGCCGCTGCCGTCCGCGCGCTGCCGCCGCCCGCGCTCGCGGGGCTGGGGTTCGAGGCCCGGCTCGCGCTTCTTGGCCCACCTGCACCGTCCCCTGCCCTGTTTTTGCTAATGTAGGGGGTCCCTCCGCCTCTGGCCTTGGTGGGTCTGGGAAGAAGAAATGGGTGGTCGGTGGAGGGGTCGCTTGCAAAGTTTGCTGCTTCCCCTGCCCTTCCCCACCCCCCGCCCCAACCACCCATAGGAGATTCTCCCGCCCTCGGCTGGAAGCATGGAATTTGCACCGCTAGGGCTTTTGCTGCACGTTTCCTGTTTATGTTGTGCGGATGGGAATTTTAAGAACATGCCACCAAACAGGCGGGGGAGGGAGAGGCTTTTGCGCAAAGCTCGGAGGCGCCTCCAGCTTCAGAGCTGGGTGGGTTTCCCCCGGAGCGCCAGGGAGGGCAGAATTCCACCAAAGAATGCGGCATCCCCGGGATCCTCCTGAAAGTCCAACAGTTGGAGAAAGGAGGCTTGTCTCTCCCCAGGGAGCCCCTCCCACCTAGGCTTTCTCCCGCTGCTGCGGCCTTAAGGCTCCATCTTCCCTGTTCAAGCACACAAGAAATGAAGTAGTGGGTCTCATCCTTTTTTTTTTTTTTTTTTTTTTTTTTTTTTTTTTTTTGCTGCTCTTATCAATCATTTCCAATTTGGTGAGACACGCAGGTCAGCTTGCTTTGTCATTTGTTAGGATCTCACGAAGTCTTAGTAGCAGGAAAACAAAAATTTGACTTTCAGCTTTGATTTTGGTTTGCAAATGTGCTTTGCAAATTTATTTATAAGAAATCTTAGCAAAGCGTCGAGTAGGTGCTTAACAAATTCTTAAAGGCCCTCCAAATAACCGCAGGAAGCTATAATGGCTTGGCACTTGGAGTCGAAGTTCAGAGAGTTGGTGTCTCAGCCCCTGAAAGTTAACGCTAATTGATCGCCTCGATCACTTGCCAGACTTTCTTAATATGCTGATTGAGAAGGTTGGGCTGCACTTAAACTCTACAAGGTAATTTGCAAAGTGCTTTTACTCGAGCTGAAACAGTGTATTTGCAGGAGTGGAGGGAAAGCAGATTGATCTTGAAAATAATTAAACAAACAGCTTTAAACAAAAACAATGTAACAATGTAAACGTTTCAGTCACACCTGATGCAAGAAATCTCTCTGTAACTTCACTGACAGGGTATCATCCACCTTGATCACTTTCAGTGAAGAGTAATCCTACTACCTTGGAGACATGCATCCCATTATTCAACATCCTGTTATTAGAAATATCTTCCTTACCATGTCAGAGTTGTCCTATAACTTCCCCTGATTTTGCTTTCTAAAACTGTTGTAGAGCAACCCCGATACAAAACCCGGTGCCTGACTGTGGGTCCTCACCCGCGTGCTTAAAAGGACTTATCATTGCTCTACTGCAGGCACACGCAAAAGGTTAATAAAAGGTTTATTTACAAGGGAAGGGGAAATGAGGAAATGTACAGCTCAGGGAGAAAAGTGGGAGACAAAGTTTTAAATAAGTCCTACCCGATCCACCGATCAGGAATCCCAAATGGTGCTCTGAGAGCTGGCTGCAAGCCAGGAGCTGAGAAGCCAGGAGGGAGCAACAGCAAGCCCCCCAAGGCCCACGCGTTTGGTTTTTATACCCAACCTGGCTGCTTAACTCCACCCTCAGGTCCCAGCCACCTTCCCTTTGGTGGTGATGGGATTTGTCTTTCCCAATGTCTTGATGGCTCTGGTCTGGACTGGGAGTGGAGTCCACAAAGCCTGTATGGGATTAGCTCAGGACATCATTTCTCCCTAACAAAACTACCCAGAAAAAATAAAATCCTTGATAGCCATGCAGATTTTTAAGCTGTCATTCATTGTTCCTTTTCCATTTTACTTTTTTTTTTTGATTAAGGTGAAATTCACATATAAATTTAACCATTTTAAAATGTACAATTCAGTGGTATTTAGTGTATTCATAATGTTGTACAACTACCATCTCTATCTAATTTAATATTTTTATCATCCAAAAGAAAACCCCACATCCTTTAATCAGTAACTCCCATATCCCAAATTTTTGTCTCTATCAATTAATCTATTACGGATATTTGCTACAAAGGCAATCATATAGTAGGTGATTTCTTGTGTTTGTGTTCTTTCATTTAGTTGACTGTTTTCAAGATTCACCTGCATTGCAGCACATATTGATACTCCCTTTTATGTGACTGAATAATATTCTCTTGTAGGCATATACCATATGAAATACAATTTATTTTTCTTTTGTTTCCTGTTTTGGTGTCATATTGATGGAGGACAAGAATAGAAAGACTGGAAAGGAGGTGCCTTAAGACCAGAACCTGACTCACAAGGAGGTGGGGGTAGAGGGAAATAACATGACCCTTAACCTTGCTGTAGAGGTCATGACCCTTAGGCACCAGTGCCTTATCACAAGGCATAAGACCCAAGCAGGATCAGACTGCTATAGGGAGCAGAGCACAGACATGAGGATAAAGATATGGAGATTGGGTCCACCCTGAAATCTCTGGTCCCTTCCTGGTTTTGCCTAGTTATCCAAAATCAGCAACAAACAGGTCACTCCACGGAGGAGTGAGCCCCTCCCAACAGAAGAGGACTATATCAGTGCAGTTTCTGCACAGGCTCGGGGCAGCAATCCCACTGCCCACCTGTGACTATGCAGGTGCCTCTTTTCACCAACTCTCTCCCTCTGCAGGGCAGCAGCCTTTCTGCCTGCCCATGATCTGTCAAGGCCGCCCACCTGCAACCAAGCAGGCCTCTCAGAAAACCTGTCCCTTCTGGGGCAGCTCTTCCTGCCTGCTTGTGTCTATACAAGTGTCTTTTACTGTTTTATCCCTTCCCTAATAAATCTACCCTTTAAATATAACTCACACCTCTGTCTTGTGGAGAAATTCGCCTGGGAAATCCGCTGCGTGCCACTGAGAGGGGAGCTCTGGTGAAACCTTTCCCAGAGTGAACCCAAGGACCCCGCACTAACTCCAAAAATCTCATCAATATCTGAGAATCCATTATCAAATGCAAGGCCAATCTATCATATAGATATGTAATCTATCATATAGATTTACTCCTGTGTTTTCTTCTAAGAGTTTTGTTGTTTTAGCTCTTGTATTTAGGTTATTAATCCATTTTCACTTAGCTTTTGTATAGGGCATGAGATTTTTTTTTTAATGTCTTGGTTTTTATTTCATCCACAAGTGTTAGTTTAAATTATTTTCACTTGTTTTAAATCAAAGTTTAGCTGTTTTCAAGGCTAAAACCAAATGCTGTGTGCTTTTAGGCATATTCCCTTGTTAGGTCATAGGTAGGGTGCCAATCCATTTACAAATGGGATTTTGACATATCTCAGATTTATATATAAAGGCACAAAGTATTTATGTATATACATGAACATATATAGCATGCATTGGAGCTGTGTTTTGCTTCTCACCAAACAACTGCCAGTCTACTAAAACTGATAAACCCTAACAAGGCAGCCTGATTACTAAGGTTGGCTGAAGTCCAGACCATCTCCTGAGATAACCACCATCACCTTTCACCAAAGAGTGAGGGAATGAAGCAAACCCAGATTTGTTTTCCTGAAGGCTGGCAGGAGCGGGAAGAGAGGAACACTATGCAATGCAAAGATGATATGCACACAACAGATGCTTTTCTTTATGCTTTGGAAGACAGAAAGGAGCCAATTAATTGTAAGAATTATCAGCCTTTTGCTCCTACAGTTGACTGTCACTGAGTGAGTGGTTAATCTGCACAGTCATTTCATTACAAGTGCTTCCTGTGGTTAGCCACTACAGTTCAAACAAGCAGTTTGAAAGTTAGATTTGGGCCTCCCCACAGCAAGTTGAGCGCAGAGCTGTGAAGCTGTCCGCAGCCTCTACAGCATGGGATCAATTCCCGACTGGTCAGGGAGATAACAACATGGCATAGCAGACCTCTCCCGCCTCGCCCGCTGCCCCCCATGTTACAGGGCAGGGAGAAGGGCACCCTAGACCCTGCAAACCTGCCTGCTTTAAATAGGTTCTGCCATCCGCCACATCAACACAAAACATATGAGATTTTCATGAAAAAGAACTTCAATACAATTAGTAAACAACACAGTAAAGGCAAAGAATATAGTTTCTAAATGAAGCACCCAAAGTTACCCATCCCCTCGTGGGTAAAAGTCCACCCAAGTGGGATTGGCCCAGAGCAAGGCCCCAAAGCCTGCCACAAGTCTAAACCATCTGCCAGTGGGGACCCACAGAAAAGGATCAGAAACGACCAGACAAGTCTGGAAGGAAAAGAGCAAAATCAAAATCAAGACAAAAACCGTCATTGTCACCTCCCCACGGGTCTCTCACCCACATTTATATCACCCAGTCCACGACCAAAAGGCAAGTGTAGTTTCTTCACGTGTCTCTCGGCGCCATGTGCCTCCTCCAGGGCTCCTTCTGGCTCTCCATCCTGCTTCCTTTCTTCGTCTCTCTCCTCTGCAGCTATTTCTCTTCCTGCTCAGTTCCACCCTCCTTTTGGGTGGGGCAGGAACCTCCCCCTTTCCTGGGGACCACCCTGTTACACCCTCAGCAGTGTATTTCGGTCCTCTGTCTCTGGTGAATCCTCTCACCCTCCTGCACCTCTGGCCTGTACCCCAGTTCTTGTATAAATAAATAAATCTTAAAAAAAAAAAAAAAGTTAGACTTGACCAACTCTCTACACGCAGGGCTTGGGCATCTTCAAAAAGTTTCCACCAGGGCCTCCCTGGTGGCACAAGGGGTTAAGACACAACCTATGAAGCTAACTGCAGCCACTGCAGCACGAGTTCAATCCCTGGCCAGGGAGCTACCCACATGGCG